CTCCAGAATTATTCATTGTATTGACATCTGTTGCAAGAACTCTGCACCCGTCTGTCTTACAAGTGGTAAAAAATAAAGAGTTCAGACCAAGGCGCCACAGATGATCACATGCTGAGTAAACGTTGCTGGCCGAGTCACAGTTCCTCTCTGAATAGTGAGTTGCTTCGTGGCACAGTCCTCATAGACGTTAGTTTTGTGAGCTGCAGAACTGGTAGCATCTGGCTTCCCTTTGTGTTCGTGTCGTACGCCTGACGTTCAGTTATATGCAAGCCTGAACAGAAGCTGTCCTCTACCTGGGGCGTTCTTGGGCGTCTAGCAAGGGTGGAAACAATGCTGTGCTGTGTCTCTCCTGTAACCAGCTGCCTATTTCTACAAAGTATGTCGGAACTCACATTTTTTTGGTAAGCGGTCAGCTTCTCTGTCCCACACCTTTAAATCAAGAGCAAATTCTAGCGAGTCTTCCTTCAAAATAGCTATCATGGTGTCTGTGATTAGTCTTTTTAAAACGTCTGAAAGACAAGAGTATTCACATCCTCTATGACAGCTTATCTCTACTACGTGCATGTATCTCTACCCCAACTGTGTATGTTTATTAAAACAGCTTCCATGGAGTGAATCTCATCTATTTTTAACCATGCAAGAAGTAAGCATCAGCTCTGCATTAGCTGCCTGATCTTCTACAAACAAGACAGGTGCTACCAAAGTATGATTCATTCCACTCTAATGCAGGTACCTTTAGAGAGAGAAATCTGATCTCTCTCTGCTGATTATGAGGAAAGCTTCTGGCTATATTTTGCTGCAGAATTTAGGAGGCCTTTGGTGCTCCTTGGTCTTGCGGCATATGCTTTCTGACACTGATACAGCTGTACTAAGTCAAACCAAGACTCCTTCAGGCTGTATATCCTGTCTCTTCTCCCTCCGATACAAGACCCCCTTGGTGTATGCTGGGGCCACAGATTTTGGCTTCTCCACCACCAAATCAAGTCCCTTAACTGGCACTTTGGTGCCATCAAGAAGTGCTGAGTCCTGTCCTTACGCTGTTTGTTTTCTCTCTCTAGTTCCCAGTTTATTGATTTCTGACCATTTGGCCTTCGCACCCGCTTGCTTTAATGTTTTTTTTTTTTTTTTTTTCCTCCCTTGTAATCCCTTGATTCCTTCCTGCTTTCTTTTATCTTAGCTGCTCCTTTCCAGGGAAGGTTTGAGAGCTTTTTTGGATTGGGCTAGTAGGAAGGTAATAGTGTCTGAAAACAAATGCCTAAACAAATGTGTAAAAACAGGCTAAGCATGTATAATGCTTCCTTCAGTTATGTCAACCATTTGCAACTCGGCAGCTTCCTAGATTTGCCTTTCCAGACCTTAGGGGATATTGGGATGCTTGGACTCCACATTCCCCAGTTGTTACCAGAAAGTGACCGTGTGCTTGGGCCTGAAGAAGAAAGTATGCTGGCAGAGACCCCCCCAGTCAGAATGACTTGGGGAAGTCAAGGAGCTGGGATGAGTTGCTTAGACTAGACAACAAGCATTACAAGAAGCGAATGCCAAGCCATATGCAATATCACTGTACATAATATGTAAATTGAAAAACACAGATGTTACAAAATAAGCTGTCAGTACAGTAAAACCAAATATACCTAAATTATGGTTGTTCTCGCAGCCATTAATCAACCTGCTGCTGTGTATTCATTGCAACAAACGTGCCAGGCACCAACTTCACCTAGGAGGCCTGTGGCGGAGCTGGAGCTGACAACTCTCCTGGGTTTGTCAGTGCCTGAAAGACAATGATCATCTTATTTGTCTGGTGTTCTGCATCATCCACTGTGTGCTAAATTTTGTGTGTCAAATTGAACCAGCAATGCTATGGAAGAGAAAACACAAAGACAAATCACAATAAACAATATAAAATAACACTATGTAAAGACAAATCAAATAAACTGTAATTATTACAAAGTAGCTCTTCTGGTTGCCATTTGAATGACATGAAAGGCAGTGGCTTCTGAATTTTGCCCCTGAGTGGTTATCATCTTTTTCTAGAAATTACTATGCACAGGTTAAATTCCTTTCTTTTTATAAACCCAGGAGAATAACACCTGCTATTGGTCAGTGTTAGTGACAAGATATTATTATATCAGAAAGGATTTTGACCTACCATTGTATTTTTCTGCTTGAACAGAAAAACTTCAATCATCAGATATAAGAACTGAAAGGGATTGTGCTGAGGCTGCCTGCTTCAGAGCCATCTGTGGGTTTAGCTTCTTTTAAAAAGTTAATGTTCTTGGGGGTAGGGTCCATACTTTTTCCTAATCAGATACTACTAGTGTTACAGTTTTGGGGAACATATAATAAATCATGAAACTGGTAGAAATTTAGATATAGTATGTAGGCTTTTATGTGCATGCAGACTTACTTCAGTGCTTCTTCATTTTGTAGATTAGCATGAACACCAGAATATCAGGAGCTTCATGTATAAAAAAGAAAATAACTCTGACTGCTGTTAGAATCTGCTATTTCCCTCCTATTAGCTAGTTGGAAAATCACCGTGGCTGCAATTCTGAATATGGACTGCAAATAACATGTACACATGAAAATTATCTTTGCTTTCATTTCAATACTAAAAGCAACTTTTCTAGAGAATTTTTCCATGTTATAGTTAAAAGTAAATGTGGCTATGGATAGTACTGATTTCAGAAAACCTTTTTCCTGTGGAGTGGCTCAGCACAGAGACTCATCGCCTGCTTGTAATGCAACATATTGTTCTTTCCACAGCCCACAATATTTATAGGCCTTTTACCATTTAGAGTGATTTACTACTCCATTTAACCCCACTTCCAAGGATCTACAGCTTAAAACAACCCAGGGGTTTTGATATCAGTTGCTTGTTTTCTCTCTACCATTTTACCTTTCCTTCTCCCTTTCCACATCTTCTTCTCTTCCTGGGCTCTTTACATAGCTCTGTCTGTCCTGCATTGGTTGCAAGGGCTTTGCTAAGAGACCTGCCTCGATCTTTCCTATGATCAGGCTGTTTAGAGAAGTACGCAGTCTGCTGTCCCGTGGTCTGTGACATGTGTCTACTTTGTTCCTTAGTTTAAGCTTTGAAATGGGTTTGCGAATGCATTCCAGGAACAGCACATTGTTCTAATTGGTAACAAAAATATATGATTCACGTAGTTTTGCTAGAGCTGCTTCCTCTTAACCTTAAAGCTGATTTTTGTTAATGACTTTTTCCTCCCATGGAAACATGGAAAACAGTCTGGGACTGCATGTTATTCATATAGAAAAGCAGATGATGAAGTTTGACATTTCACAGGCAAAAGAAGTCTGAAGATTTTTATCAGTGTGCTTAATTTACTGTTTTTCTTTTCTTGATTTTTTTAAACTCTGAAAATAATAATCATTCTTAGGAAGGAGGTAGGCAAGTCTTTTTCAGCAGTGAGCAGTCTGTTGAGTCTCAGTAATTTACCTTTTTTCTTGGTAGTTTTTCTCATGAAAAGAAAAAAATATGAATAGCCTAGATATTAAAAAAATTGAAAAAAATCCACCTTTGTTAGATCAATGTGTTGAATTAAAAGTAGTGACAAAATTTAACACCAGGGACTGAGATAGTTTGATTTATCCTGTTCTTCCCATGCCCATGTTATGGTTTTATTTGTTTGTTTGTTTTTAAAGATAAAATCTTTACATTCACAGGAGATGGGCAGCTTTCTTCCTTTACTCAGAGCCTGACTTCCATCATGAGAGCTATGCTGTCTGCTGGACTTGAAGGATATGGGTTCTGGTCACAAGAATGCAAAGCAGTGATCTACTCTGTTTTTTATCCTTTTTGCCCTGGAGTTTAACCAGCACATTAGACTAATATTTTCTTGCTTGCTAGTGGCAGTTTCTGTTTCTTTTTTGTTTTGGGTTTTTTTGGTAGTGGAAGTCATTAGAGTTTCTCCCAAGAGAATCACTGCCAAAGTAAACAAACATCTTCATGAAAAGAAAATAATGTCTGTGGAGTATTCAGAATTCCATGTTTTACAGACAAGTATTTATGGCAACCAACTCGTGAATTAAAGTGAATGAAATCCTATTTCTAGTTTGCTGCTTCTGCTGTGCTAATTGAATGTGGCAATTTCTGTTAGTTTCTCAGCTATGCGGTGCAAGTTCTGGATGTTAGTTGTAATTTAAGATGAAGGAAAATATGAGATGAAACTCAGTTTAGAAAAAGGATTTTTTTTTTTTTTTATTGTTGGAAATTGAATAGTGCATGTAAACCTCTGGGGAATTGCTATTGTCTCTAAAATGTTCTGCATGTGGTTGGCAAGAACAACAAGGACAGAAGAAAGTTCAGCTAAAAAATTCATAAAGGCTGTCTGGTGGAATGCATTACAGTCAGCTGTATACCTCTGTGCTCTTATCCCTCTGAACTGATAATTTTTAGCTGAGATGAAACATTCTGAGGAACAGGAGGCTGGCAGATTTGCAGCATAGATTGTTTGAAGGTTTAAATACTGTGACTATCTCATCTTACAGTGAGTCTGTAGATATAATGTAAGCTGGAGTTGCTGAAAAGTGATAGAATGGCTCTGTGTGTACAGCCTACAAAACTGTGAAGAGCTTATTTTCTGTGTGCTGTAGAATCCTGCACGCTTTCCACCTCCTGTCCAGGATAGCAATAATTCACCAGTGGAGCAAATTCACTTCAAATTTTTTGAGGATGAGACCATATCTAGTTCTTTGTTTAGGCAGTGGCTTTCACAAAGGGGACCAGTGCTAGCTGGGAACTGCTGCCAACACCATCATATGTTTCATGACAAATGCGAAGTGTTCGAAAAGTTGGCACTACAAAATAGAGATACTGTCAATCTCTGTTTAATTCTCAAAATGACTTGTAGGATTTTAAAGCTTGTGTTGTTGCTGGTGCACTCACGTATCGGCATTTTTAACAGTCCTTATAATATGGCTGGTTAATTTGGTTATATTACTAGGACATAAACTAAAATTATTCCGAGGATAGGGAATACTACGGTTTTACTGCTGATTTTTTTCAGTATGCTGTGTGCAGAAGAAAAGTTTGTCCAGCAGTGTGTGCCTCTACAGTCAGAACACGGTATTTTCTCATCTTCCTTTCTGTGTACAGCACAGGTGCAGCTGCCACTATTTACCAAACATGAAGGTGGTGTTCACAGCTTTGGGGGTAAGTTTGGGTTCTGCTTTAAAGAATGCATGAGACATCTCTACTAATTGCAGGAATGTTCAGTGTATATTTATATACCTGAATATTGTGTAGGAGGCTCCCAGAAATTTCAAGAAATTATCTCAGTGATCATTGGCAAGGTCTCTAGAAACTCGCGTAACTGACTTGTGCTAAGAATAACTGCGTGATGCTTCCAGTGTTGGAATAATCTGTTCTGAAGGGCTGAGTACTGTAGTCTCACCGTATTTAGGAGATGAGGTAGGACACCCAAGGAGACTGGAAATTTTTGAGCGAGGAGGCTTTGAAGTACATTGAATCCTGTAGGTAGCCTTTACCACAGATGCAGCAGGAGGAAGGAAGCATGTGTCTGTAGCTAGGTCTGCCCCTCTGTGGGAGTGAACAGACCACATAGCAAGTTAAACAGGAGGAGTATATGTTTGCACCTCAGCAGGCTGTTAAAGTAAGTGCTTTAAATTGTTACAAGATGTATTAAAGTTTACTTATTAAACCTCTGAAAGGTGATAGAGGAGCAGGTTCCCCTTCCGAGCCATAGCATCTGTGTTGTACTAAAAACAAAAGCAACCTGATTTATATGTGAATATGTATTCTCTTGTACTTGACCTATTTTCTCTTTGAGTGTAAGATGGATGTTCACTAATTTTACACCACCACCCACTGTTTCAATAAAATTATTTTCAACAGATTCTGTAAGAAACTTGCTGCTTTAATTAATATGGAATTATCACAGAAATTGGCAGTACAGACCCTTCAGATTTACCTTCAGATTTACCAAAGTTAATCAAATTTATATACAGGCTAGAATTGAAGAAATACAGATTAAAATTATGAAAACCATTAGCTGTATCATTGTGACTAATTATGGTTGTGTATCTGATAACCAAGGTGAGGTCAACATAAGGCTGGCCATTGTGATATCAGAGCTCAGCTAGTCAGGAGCAGTTAGGTTGCTTGAGGGTAGGATGCTCTCCTTCCCAGTTGCTGAGGGCGCGCAGCATCTTTTATGAAATACACCAGCATCCATGGCAGTAATGATGAGACTGCTCCGGTGATGAGACTGTGCCTCTGGGAGGTAGAAGAGGCAGGCCTGGACGCAACGCAGAGCTGAAGTCAGCTTTGACATACAGCAAATGAATGCTCTCTCAACACTTGGCTGTCTTTTAGTCATGTCCCAACCACCTTCTACCTTCCCCAGCCCTGGCTTTTTTTTTTTTTTTTTTTTTTTTTTTTTTAAACTGCATTTCTGGACAGTTCTGGGTGACTGATACTGAATCAGTCTTATTTTCCTTCTGGTCTCTCTCTTCCTTCTAAAAACATTTAGCTCTAGTAGGGACTCAGAAACAAGATGTCTTGAGTCCTCTCATAATAATTTACATCTCTGATCTAATGATCAATTGTAAATCAATGTTAAGCTTCATCACTTCTGACTGTTTATGCTATTATGATGATATGAAGACATTGAAAAGCAATATACTGGTTTCACCCTGTATATTTTGATTACTAAAACCATCTTATTTGTGTGGGTCTTTCTTAGTGCTCATGTGTAGCATTTTTAATTATAGTAAAGAAGTCTAAGAAAAATCCCTGCGAAGAAACTACATAAAAGCTGAATGTATTAGAATATTCATGTTAAAATATTTCAGAAGTGCATTAGTTATACAAAAAAAATAATTGAAACCTAGGAAATGTAGTGAAAATATAACTCTTCAATGAAAAAAGATATATTAAAAAAGAAAACACATAGTTAAAGTCATCCAGAAAACTTTAATTTTCTTTAACAATGAGAACCTGAGGGAAATGTGGAGTTAAATTTAGTTTCTTTCTGCAGACTCTAAATTTTTTAACCCTTTATGCACAGCTCTACTTAAAAGAATTATGCTTACTTGGATGCCTTAATCATTAACTCCTCTACCTTCATAAATTTAGCTGTTTTGTAAGTTTAATCTATCTCTAAGCACTGGAAGTTGTGCTTTCTAACCACATAGCTAGAAGGTGAAGGAACTAGGGTAAGATCAGCCCAGTTGTGTTCATCTTTTATACAGAGAATACAAAACCTACTGTAATTCTGTAATTTCTTCTCTCATTATGGTATTGAGAGCTCAAATCCATTTTTATGCAGTGGCTTAAAACAGTTTACTGCTTAAGTATAGCTTACAGAAGCTGCTTTGCGGAACTGATGATCACATATGCCACAAATCAATTGTACCCATGATATTAAAAGGGAAAATTACCTAGATCTTTAAAAAATTCCCAAACCTTGGTAAATATCCTTGAGTAAATGTGATATCATTTTGGGTCACTGTGCTTTGACCAGAGGTCAATCAAAATGATTCATCTGAGGAACCTTTGTTTTCATATTTGTAATCTTTTTTTTTAGTGCATGCTTATATAGTATATTGTAACTGAAAAGCAGAAAACCTCGTAAAATGTCTACATTATGAGATCAAAGGACTTCCCCTCCCCCCCATTTTTTTTTTTCACTCAAATAACCTCTCTTTTCGATGTTGAAAGGTCTTCTTTATATGAGGAAATTTACCAGAGACTATAGTAGTGTAATTATGTCTTGTGGATGCTTTTTAATCTTGCATGAATGCCTGTAGAATTCAAGCATCCATATGGGGAGTTAGACCATCAGAACTATAGGGGTGTAATTATGCTGGTGAATTCTGTATGCAGACAAATGCTTTATGAAAGGGAATTTTATTTTTGCTTTTCACTTTTCAGCTTATTCATGTTCTGAACTAAAAGGAGTTGATCAAATCAATGAAAGTAATGAAAATTCAATGGTTATCAAGTAGACTGTCAAGTGCTGGGGAAATTGGAAAGTAATAAACGTATACATTTCCTGATAACATTAATGTGAGCTTTTGTTCTTATTCTCTTGCCAGTGTTTGAGTTTGTGAAGGGTTTAGTGATAGGTTAATAAACAATGTCTGTTCTTTGCTGAGCCTCATAAACTAGTATACCCAATAGCTAAACACTGGTAGAATATTAGAGATTCTTAGCCATCATAAAAAGCAGCTGGGGTTCAGGCAAATATGACACTGGAGAATTACTTGAATACTTTTTAGTCTCTGTAGGACCTCTGCAGCTAGCACTGAGCAGATCAGCCACTGAATTTCTATATGAGAATTTTCCTATATCCCAGTTAAATTGTAATTCCTAGGACAACAGTCAAAATGTTCTCTACAGAAGTAGGCCATATACATGAAAATAACTTTCAATATGTCAGTAAGGGTGTAGTAACACTTTAATAGTTATTTACAAAATGTGCCTAGAGTAACAAGCATGTCTCAATGAAACTGCTGCATAGACTTTAAGACAAGAAGAGCCCTATCATTTTGGTGATGTAATGCAGTCCAACCTTAGCACTGACCACAGAGCATTGCTCTGTAAATCCTGCTTGAAGACCATTATTTCAAGGTGAACTTAGAAAGATGTCTGTTCATACGTAAAGAGTTCAGAGAACAAAGAGTCCGTCACATCTATACCAACACTCACTGTTCAGGTGAAGTGTTTTATTTGTGGTTTGAATTTAGCTTTGACTTAACTTGTTGAATCTTTGCTGGATTAAAAAAGCCTTTAGCACTGGACATTATTCAATGAAAATACTTAAAGCCTGAGATCAAGGCATCTCAGTCCTCTTTTGTTGTTAAGCAAATCTCATTGAGGTGCTTTAGTTTCTAACCGTAAGGCAAGATTTCTGTATCACCAGTTTTTCCTGTAGTTGGTTTCAAGTTTTCAAACATCCTTCTTGAATATGGACGTCAGGGCTGTCAGCAATGGTATTATTAATGAGAGATTTACAGCACAAGCTGAACAAAAGCATGCTCTCCCCTCTCTGTTTTTGAAACATGTAGGAAGACATAAGCGCAAATATATTGCTTCTACCAAATTTTAATTTTTCATGTTTCTTGTCACAAGCCTCTTAGGAGAGATGCCATGTAAGGGCTTCCACTGGATATTACGCTTTTCCAAGTCAGGCTTGTTAAAGGGATACAGCAAGGTGATCCCTTGCTGTGATAGCCAGAATATTTGTGTTTGCCTTGGGTAATGTTGCTACAATGGTAATGTTTCTCCTGATTCATATTCATATTTATATTCATATTCTTTGTATCTTTTAGAGTTGAAAAGACAGTCTTCAGTTTAGTAAATATTGTTTAATTTTTGTTCCAACACGTAGAACTGATTTTTTCATCATTAATAAAGTATACATTCGTCATATGGGCATGAATTAAAGCGAAGTGGGTTAAAAGTTAGCGTGACTGTGCCATTTTGTTTATTTCCTACTTTTCCAGTTTTTCACCTGTAAAATTTCCTGGGACTGTTTTTTTTTGTTTTCATCAAGGCACGGCCCTTTATATTCACCCTATATATTCACCCAAGAGAGTGAGTAGGATTAGCCCAAAAAGTGTTTCCTGTGAACTCACTCTTGAAATGTTGCAGATGGAAGATGAGTCTGGTTTTGGCTACCAGTAGAACTCTAAGTTAACTATTTTGTAATGAATGGGGAATACAGAGGTTTTTGTATAGTGCTGACATGGTAATCACTGTAATGCAATGGTTAGGTCAGTGTTTTACAAGCATATTAGTATGTGGTTTTACAGTTGTACCCCGTCACTCTGAAGCTGTTTCAGGCCTGCTGTGCAAGCAAACTGAAACAAAATATTTAAATTTCATTTTACATAGAAATAATTTCCAGTCCTCAACTATTCTTTCCAGAGCAGGCTGTGTGCTAGTCATGGTAAGGCATTAGCTAGACCATCTAAGAAATTTTTTTTATGTCCTGAAAATAGTGGGATCAATTTTACTGTGATTGTGTGGATGTGTGCAAGGTGCAGGAGAACTACAGAAATGCACTGAAAAGGGAGCCCATCAGCCTGAGGACTACTTGCAACATGACCCTGAGAAAGAAGTGCTTGAAACTATGAGTGAAGAAGCTGTTGCCGGCTGTTTGCTTCCTTCTGTGTCTGGGGAAACATCATATAAGTAGTATATGTGGTTTGTAAATAAATAGGATTGCACTGAATAAATGCCTGTCAACAATTTGAAGTATAGCATACAAGACATCAAAAATCAGCTAATTGTTTCTATCTGTGTTTACTGACAAAGTTTAGAGTAGTATCTTAGAAAGTCCTCAGAGAACATATTGATGAAACTGAACTAAAACTACATGGCAAGTCTGCGTTTCAGTCTGGAGTCCTAACTGAAAGTTATGTATTTCTAGTAGCATTGAATACTTTTGTTTGTTTTGTGTTTTCTAGTCAGAATAAAACCTTAATAGTTACAGAATTGTATAGCAAAAGCCTAGATTGAAAGCGACCTCTGGAGAAACCTGCCCCAAGCTCCTGTTGAAAGCAGGACCTTAGATGTGATGATCAGGGGCTTGTCCAGCCAGGTGATTTCCAGGGAGTTTCCCCACTTCTCTGGGCAACCTGTTTAAAGTTTGGTTACTCTAATGATGAAGAATTTCTTCTTTTATCCCAACGGGTTTCCCCTGAAGCAGCTTTTGCCTATAGCCTTGTCACTGGACAGTTCTCTGAAGAGACTTTCCATCATGTCTATAACAACCATTTAAGTCTTTGAAGACTGTGTTCAACCCCCAACTGTCTCTTCTCCATGCTGAACAAATCCGATTCTTTCAAACCTTCCTTCATCTGTCAAGTTCTCCAGTACTCTAATCATCTTGATGGCCCTCTGCTAGACTTTCTCCAATTTTTAAATGTCTCTTTTGAGCTACAAGGATCAAGACTGGACACAGTATTCCAGATGTGGCCTAATAAGTTCTGAGGAGAGTGGAATTACCACATCCTTTGATCTGCTGGCTTCAGATTTACTGAGGTTAGCCTGCCACACCATCTGCCTTCATTGCTGCAAGAACACGAGGCTGGCTCGTGTTCAGCTTGCAATCTACCAGCATTCATGAGCCCTGTTCCCCCAATAATACTACTTCATTTTTGACTGACATATAATGAAAGCAAAGCATAGAAGTTTACAAAGCTTCTGGAAGAAAAGGGAGGTGCTTTCCTTAATTTTACCCTAAAGCTCAATGATTTCAGCCTTCTTGCACAGTATGGGAGACCTGGGTTCAGTTCTTTCCTTCTTTTGAAGAGTGGGCCCCATGTTGCTCACAACCCTGAGCAGTGCCCTCAGGAGGAGGCTGTAACAAGCCACAACATATTCTGGGGTTCCTTCAAACTCTCATGTTGCCACAGTGATATTTTTGTTTAATAGACTTTTTCTGTTTCCTAGACTAGGAACTAAATGTGTCATACCTCCTCAGGGATTATTTGTCATATGTGCACTCTCTTCTCTTCTTGCTTTGTTTCAGAAATGCAAAGGTCCAGAGAAATTCCCCAAAACTTTTGAGAAGAAACTGTGTTTGCCCAGCTCCGGTGTGATCCTTACGACATACTACGTCTTTGTGTTTAGTTTCTTTCCTTTGATGTGAATGAACTTGCCTGGAGTTACGTGATTAGTCATAATGGCTCCATCTTGGTAGTGCAGGTGAGTAAGTGGGGATACCTGAATTAAATTTTTTTTTAAAAGTACTTATTGTAATACTTCTTGCTTTGACCATGGTGGCACTTGGGCCTTTTTATTATTTTTGTACCTTATACAGCTTCATCTGTACAATATAGTAACTTGTGGTGGGATAAGAAATCTGTTTGTTTTGTTTTAGAGGAGTCAGGAAATATCTAAAAATATTTTCAAGTACTGCAGGTTTTTAATGAAAGCAGCTTGGGTGTAATGTTTGATGTACTGGCTAATAAAAACTTGATCGATATTCATTGCTACTCTTGTTTTATTTTAGAATCCAAGTGCCAGAATAATAAAAAAAAAAACCAAAACCAAACCAAAACACCACCATTAACACTGGCAGTTTACTTGCACAATAAAAATTGTGCAGTTGGCTTCTCTGCATTATATTGCACTTGCAGATAAAGTATGAAAACCAATGATAATTTGAAATTAATTACTATCTTAAAGAGAAATAATATTTCCATAGTACTTCTAAAAGATAATTTCAAAAAAATTAATAATTGCAAAATTTTAAGATAATTAATTTGGAATTTCTAGCGTAGCATGAAATCGGAACAGATTTCCATCCATTTCACTAACAGCAAAGCATGACATGAGATTGGTGAGCATTTGTTACAAGCATGCAGAAGACAAATTCTGTCACAATGAAGAGCTCCACTTTCTAGGACTTGTCCACAATGTGTGAGGAAAAGATGGATGGCCATCAGTAAATCCAGAACGAGGACTTCTTCTGAACATCATTAAGAAAAAGAATGCCTTCAATTTTCTAAAGATCTAATTTCAGGAAGATCTTAGGGATATTGTAAGATGGAAATGTCTTCATTAAGCATGAGATGAATCAGTGCTGGACTTTCTGATGCACCAAGCAGTGTTAGCCACTCATCTCCAAAAACTCACAGGTACCGCAGTACCTTCTACTTTGTGGGAACAACCTTTGGCACCAGGCAGCATTATGTGAAACATAAAATCAACCAGTTCATCAGAACAACTTGTTTCCCTAACTGAGTGCTAAAAGTGGAAGTTTTAATGGAAAATGGGACTTCTCAAGGAAATCCTGCTGGGTATTCTAAAGGCTACACTTTAATGAGCACACAAGTAAGTTACCTTGGAGAGGAAAGCTAGGCTAGTAAAGAAGCCACAAAGGTGATAATTAAACAAGAAATCAATGTTAAGTATGGAAAAGGGGGGCATAACTGGAATGAAAAGTCAATCTACAAAATGTAAATGACTTTCAGAGAAGATCAAAGTAATAAGGAATTATTAGTGGCCAGTAGAATTTAAGACAATAAGAAGGCATTACCAATGTATTAGGAACAAAAGCACAATTAATAAAGTATAGATTTCAGTCTTGCAGAAGAAAACAGAACAGATCCAATGGCTGGAAATCAAAGCTTGAAAAATTCAATCATTATAAAGATGAAGTAAGGGTGATTACACATAGGAATAATTTTGCAGTGTAGGTAGGTGGTAAACTTGCCATTGCTAGGACTTTAATCCAATTGGATACACTTTAATCTGACTCTCGAAACAGGCTTGTGAGCATCTCTGTGGATGGCTGCAGAGGTCATTTCTTCTGTGCAAGCTGTACATCTGTGAATTTATATTTGTTCTTTGTCACTCCCTTCTTTTATAAACTGTTGAGAATAACAGAGCTCTCATTGCCCTCAACATGTTCCACACGCTGAGCTCTGCATTAAGACAATGAATGTAAAAAAAGTCTCATGCTTCAGGGCTACAGCTGGCTGCCTGCACAAGGCAAGAGGCTGATTCCCTAGGTTAATTCTGGATTTTTTAATTTCATTTTTCTCTGAAGCCTTAGGAACAGGCATGGCTGGTTATAAAACCTTGGAGACAGGGTCAGTTCTCTGCAGTGAAAAGGAGTTCTCTCTTTTAGATAGCTGCTATCTTCCAGCTGGCTGGGGGATCAGACAGTTTCCTCCCTAAATCAGGGTAGCAAGGACTTTGAGGTCTTTTTGCTTTCCTCTTCATTATGACATCTAGGCATATCTGAGATCGTAATTATGATCATTTGGGCATATCTCATATAATCAACTTATTATTATTACTGGAGCCTGGGGCAGAGGCATCACAGTCTTTTCTGGCATTCATATTAGCTTAATTTCTTCAAGACTGATTTTTTTTTTTTTTTTCATAACCCAACTCACTGGGGAAAGCAGTGGTAAACGGGTGAAGCGTTAACATCACATAAAAGACAGCAGGTTGCCTGTTCTGGTTTAAATACTACTGATTTATAAAGATCCTACTGGCTTAAATTTGCTGCAGTAAGAGTTACAGGTGACAAAAACTATTTCTTTTTCAGAAGGGGCTGATGCCAGTCGTGATGCTTGATGGAGTTGCAGAGCTGCCACACAGGCTGCTCGAGTGCTGCTTTGCTGGCTGCATGCAGCAGCTAACAAAGGATTTGTTGTGCTTGCAGCAGCATTGCCTCCAAGTCTAGCTTTCCTTCTGCAGCCCTCCCTGCCTTTTGTTTAAAAAACCCCTGCCTATTCAAAGCAAAAATAAAACCCCTTGCTTTTATTGCAGTACCAGAGAAGGAGGATGTGATAGCTTTTCTTCTTGCTTTGGTTTTGTTGAATTGCAGGTGGCAGTGAGTGGAAGGAGTGATGTCAGGAGTTACTGGAAGCCAGGCTATGTATCATCTCCTAAGAGGCATACGGGTCTACCAGGGTTCTGCCTCGTGGCCATGCCTGGGAGGTGGCTCCGGTCTTACACTACTTTCTGTTGCACACATGGGAAAGTACTTGCATGATTCACTATGAACCTCCTTTCTGTACAGAAAGCTGAGGCTGTCAACAGACACCTATTACCATCCTGCAAAGTTGTCAAGAGACCTGCTGTTTCATCTACATCAGTGTGTTTTCTTCTTAAGCATGTGAAGAAAAGGCAGTCTCCATCTTATGTGAGCCCTTATTATTCTTTTTGTGGGTCCAACGGAGGGACACGTTTTCAGTTGTTACTTCTTGTCTGCAAGTGGAACTGGGACTCATGTAAATAAACATACTGACTTATTGCATAAATCACCTTATGTAACATCTGTCATATGGTTTATCATATGTCATTGTTTTGCATCACATATGGCATTGGCTTATGGTATATATATGTTTAATCAGGACTTATCCTGTACCCATCATCTAACAGGTGACTCAATACCTATCTTGCACAGTGGTTTGTACACAGGAGCTGCAAGCAAAGGTAAGTCCGGCTGGAAACTTGGAGATAGATGGATTGGGAGAGATGAAGGGAAAAACCCAACAGATCCAAATGAATGGCAGAACTAATAAGGACTGGTTTGCTCTGGCTTTGTGTCTCTTGGGGTGTGATAGACTGATGCTTGTCACACTGAAGTGTCCTCTACCATGATACTTTCCAGTCTTTCTGTGTCCTCATAGTGAGATGCCTCACTTCCCTTCAGCTCCTCTGCCACAGAGTAGCTCTTAGGTTTTTTTTTGTGGCTTTTAGCTACAGTTGCTTGGCTTCATGACAGGGAGTGACCCAGCAGATGCTGTTTTGGAGATGCATGCATGCATGTAAGGTGGCCAACCTGTACGTGTCCAGCATGGTCAGCAGCTGCTACCAGCTGAACCTAATCGAGTGCCCTTCTCCTCTGCTGGCAACAAAATTAATGACTTTGGGAGCTGCCTTCCATGATGTGCTGAATGTAGTACAGGTAAGATCTTGCTACCTTAAAAATGACTATGCTTTTCAGTTTGGTTGAAGCTGAACAGACATGACAGAGAGACAGCGTGATGCACGCAAGCTTCATTTCCTCAGGAAGCCAAGCTAAAAAAAAAATCTGCCTAGGAAAATTTTCAGCCAACATTTGAGAAGCTTGCCATTAATTATCAAAATGAAGAAGCAGAGTGTGCTAACATGGTGTTGATTCAAACTATCAGAATCAATCTCTCAATAAATAGACCTGCTGAAAAAAATATGTAAAACACATCAGACTTGTGTGCTGTTTCTTTTTAGCTTCTGCATCTGGCCTTGTCATAAGAGACTCCAATCCTAAAAATCACCCTCCTTTACCCAAACTCTACAGGATACACAAAATTTAGGAGGAGCATTTTATTCCTAAAGTGTCAGAGAACCTCTGTCTTTAAGGTTGCTTTTTCAGAGCAAGTAAATTGAACTAGGTCAGCCTGAATTAGGGTGATGTTCTTTGGATTTCTCATGTTTCTGGTGCTCATGGAGTTCAGTATTTCTGGAGGACTGCTACTCTGCAAGATCTCTGCCAACCCTTTCTCTTAGCCTTTGTTGCTTATAGAGCTCCTGCCCAATGCCAGACATATATACACATGCTTTGCAGAGCAGTTTTGGATTCATTGATGCAAAAAGATGAAGAAGTAAAATATGTGTTTCTTGTATCACTGTTTCTGTTGCTGTAAAGTCAGTATTTTAAAGGCTCCAAAGTTGCTGGAAATGGATTTTTGATTTATTATGAGAATCAGCCTTCTGGTGTTTATTCACTTGCTGTCTACCTTCTGAAGGCCATTTGGGAACTACAGCTTTTACAAATCATCCCTTGTATTTTGGGTTAATCCAGGCCTTCCTGCACTCTACTTGGTTGTTGTAAATGCAGTTTATAATTTATACAGAATGTGGTTCATCTGCCCTGTAACTAGGAAATGTTAAAAGAAAGCATTCAGTCATCGTTTATGCATCTGGTGATGCAGACTGGGGTTTTTAAAAGAACCCAGAAGAATTAGGCATTCAAATTTCATTAAAATGCTGTGGAAGCGAAGCATATAAACTCTATTAAAAAACTCAGTCATTATCTATAACTCTTGTTTTTTCTCCAGCTTAATTTGCATAAGCTTGTTTAGGGGAGAGAAGTGGACGGGGCTGGTTTTGCACACCTTGCCTTCTTGATAGTGCTGGGGCGCAACCCTGCCATAGAGCTTGAGCATGCTGTGACTCTCACCTCTTCCATTTTCACCTGCAGCTTCATGAACCCATCTAACTACTAATTTTATAGTTAAAACCTTATTTTTGTAACCATAGAAATGAATGTAAGTATCTGATCAGTAAAACTGTTGATACAAATAGTTTGGTGAATATGATGTTGAACACATATTATCCATATATCTATCTATCTATATCTCACATTCTGGGAATGATTTGTACCTTTTCACACTCTGAAATGTTCAGGGAGACAAAGATGAATAAAAGTTAGTTCAGAAATTAAAATTGTACTGCAGAGTGTAAAAGAATTGGATATATTGCATTTAAATACAATGCAGTGTGACTAAAGGTTACATGTAATAAATATACTCTCATGTCTAACAGAAAACAAAAGCTTCCTCTATATGCAAGAATCAGTAAAGTACAATGTAATAAATATAATGAAGAACAAGATGAGAGATCAATTAGATACACAGTCAGATGAAGAAGAGTAAGTAGGGAGTGGAGTTTATTCTGAAGTCAGAAGGGATTGCTGCAGCAGTGCAGAATATGCTTGCTGGAGGAAGGAGTTAATTGCGCCAGCAATGTTCAGCCCCTATTTATTGCAAGACAGAATTAATGGCTTTCCTGCCTGGTGCTGAAAATAGAAGCCAAATTTAAGTTGTTTCTTGAAGGCAGATATAATTAGATCATGAAGCTTCTGGCTTTTGGGTCTAAATAATAGGATAAGAATGACCACACTAAATCAGAACAGAGTAAGGTCTCTTAACTGTTTCTTAGGGGTGAGAATAGGACAAGCACAGAGTGATACTTTCCCCAATTTCCAGCTGTGCACAATGCACATACTGCTTCAACTGTAGATTTAAGTGCATTATATATTAGCCCTTGCTGAATCCTTTCTTTATAGATTGTTCTAATTATTTGACCCATTTATATTTTTGTTAGTCACAACACTTATAGCAATAAACTATCCAGTGTAGCTATGAACTGTATGTAGAAAATATTTGTTTGATTTAAACTGTGATATTTGGTGCCTGCTAAGTCTTATGATATGAGGAGTAGTGAACAATTGCTCCTTACTTATTGTCTATGCTATTCTCACTTTTATATACATTTATTTCCTCTTAGTCATCTCTTTTTCCATGTTGAAAAGTGCTTTTATCCATCCTCATACAGTTAAAGTAGTATACTGCTATTCCTCTATGTTATCCAGCATACGTCATTCCTGCTTCTAATAAACCTTTGGGCATGGATCAATCAGACCTAGGTGAGGTATTGCCAATGTGGATGCAGTCTGGATTTATACACTGGTGTAGTACTTTGTCTTTTGACTTTTCATCCTTACATAATGATTTGTAACATTTAGTTTGCATTTTCTGTCTGCCAGCGAGCACTGGACAGATTTTTTCAAAGAAGTCTCAAAAGCGAGTCTGAGATTCTTCCTGAAGTGATAATAAATAATTTATTTATTGTTTATCACTGTGTATGTGCAGTTATTTTTTTTTCCCCCATGTGTATTACTTTGCATCTATCAATATTAAATAATGTCTACATTTTTGTTGCTGAATCACTCAGTATTCAGTATAATGACACCTTTTGAAGTATTGACTGTTCTAAGTAATTTGTATCATCAGCGAACTTTGCCATCTCATTATTAATTCCCCTTTCCAGATCATTTATGAATATACTGAAGAGAACAAGTTCAAGTGCAGATATCTGATCGCTTCTCTCCCATGGTGAAAACAATTTATTACTACGCTCCAACACATCATTAATCTACTAAAGAATTTTCATCCTTCTGATAACTTAGTTTCTTTAAGAGCCTTTAGAGAGAGATCTTGTCAAAACACTTTGACTTCTGGAAATCCAAGAACATTATAGCAGGCTGCATTCCCAAGCTGGCTGACTTCTTTAAAGAACTATTAATATCATCAATTTCATCAACCAACAGTAAATTGAAAAGCCCAAATTTAGTCAGGTTTTTCCTTCTGCAAATATTACATTATTTGTATACTAAGAATTATCTACAAGTACTTTCATGATTAGTACCAAGGCTTCTAGCAGTTAGTGACAATTTCTACAGAAAAGTTATTACTATGCTGCAAGAAATTCCAGAGTGAGGTGCAGATTTTCATTGACCCTGAATGGAGCATGGTTTCTCTGTGATAGAAGTCTTCTATTTATTTTCTGTAAATGACACATCCCTGAAGCAACAGCAAGGGAATGAAAGTTACATTTTATCACAGTAGCATTTGCAGAAAAGTGACTGCTAAAGTCCCTATTCATAATGAAACCTGGGCCAGGCATGAGTTCCTAAAAAGCTTACCTGCAGGTGCTTAATTTTTTTTTTTTATTTAAAAATTTATATCAGAGCTTTATGAACTTCTGATTAAACTTTTAAAATAAATTAAGGGTGAGAGGATTAGATGGGGAATTGGAAATGAACCATGGTATCTTTTGCCTCTAGCTCAACATTTTGAAGGCAACCCAAATGAGATGTGACAAAGTGCAGTGTGCTCTTTTCTTTTTGCTGACCTATGTGTAACTGGAGTTTGGTCTCTGCCAAGTTCTTTGTGTGTGAATGGCCACATCACTATCCCTGCTACTCTAATTAGCACTAATTAGTCCTTTATTAGAATTTAAAATAAATAGGCCATGATTTAGATATCACAGAGACTAAATTATCTACTTAGATGATCCACTTGGACTAGATGAACATCCTGCTCCCCCCAGCCCTCATCTTTTCCACCATTTGACAGAAGTTATGGATAGGTTTTAAATGGCTGGTATGCCCAGCTCCCATGTTGTGTCCTATTTGAAATTTAAACTGTGAAATCCTGTTGAAGGACAGTTCTGAGTGTGAGTCAAATGAAACTGTGTTTTATTCTGGTATCGGTCTTAGTTCTGTTGGACACTTCCTTCCTGGCCTCTTTGGAGATGTGAAGAACTTCAGAGGAATTCCTCATCAGTAGATGTTCAGAGAGTTGCTCCTACTTCTTCAACCTCCAGTCTAAACTTCATACTACTTCCTCTCAAGAGAATATAGTTAATCCAGGTTGGCCCTTGCTTATCACAACTCTGACGCTGTTTCTGCTGCCTGTTACACTGTCTTGCTGCCAGAATATCTTCAGACCTGTAGGTACTACCAAGTCGTTGCTCCTGGTCTTCCCTCATTTATATAAGATATCATGCACTAATAGATGTCCTGGGAGGGGAAAGGAAAGTGAACTTTCTTGGTGAAACATTGGATGCAGCTTAGCATTGTCACATGTGCAGTCTGTGGGTGGTGGTGACAACACTACCCCCTTCTCTTTGCTTGATTCTGAAATGCCAGCTGGTTCTTCTCTTTTCCCCAAAGCATCTACTGGACTTTCTGTTGTTGCTTCCATCTGAAATTTTCTTCTGCTCCTTGTAGAGAAGAGGGAGACTTGGCAGCTGGAAAAAGTCCAGTCCTTCAGCCACACTGATTTCCAGTGGTTTCCAGGTCAACAGAGACTGCAGTGGGCTGGTAAGCCTGATCCTGCTGCGATTCAGAGCACAAGACAATGTATAGTGCACACAAAGCCTCTGGTCAAAGTGTGATGGCACAGGAGTCTGCCATTGCTTTTCTGGGGTGGTGGTCATTATCCAAATGACCTCTACATTGTGGTAATGGGAAAAATATTGATGGCATCGATACTGGATTTTTTCAAAAGTGGTTAACGTTGGCACTAGAGCTAATGACATGTGATGGACTACTGCGCCACTTTAAAAATCCTACATGTTATGCCAGCAGCGTGCAGGTCTTCTGTCTTCAAATACAGATGCATGCCTTTAAATGCCACAAACACAAGGTGTTATTGTGGAAGTAAAGAGAAGCTATGTGAATCTGCTTTCTCCAGGTTTTCAACAAGTTATTGACTATTTTAGGTCTAATCAAACCAACTATTTGGACTTCTTAGTTTTAGAACAGTAAAAACCTCCTGGCTCCTTCATTGCAGTCAAAATCTTAAGATGTCCATACGTAATTCATGAAACAACTAAAATTTCAGTCATCAAGTACGAGACATTTCTTGTTTCCCATGCTAGGTCAGCACTTTCTTGTAGAGATAATTCATATCATCATATGTGGAGGTGACTCATTTGCGCATTTTGGAGTTCAGACAAAGTCTGCTAGTTGTCTTTTCTGTGTTACCTTCCACATGTTTTTCCTGCATTCATAATGGCATGATTCTGCCTGCTGTCTGCAGGTGAAACAGCTTCTCATCTACATCTTCCTTAAACATAAAGAGGGTTGTAAGTGTATCAGGATATGGCTGAGAAAGCTAGATTGCATGCTACCTGAAAACTGTTACTGATTATTCCAAAATTACCTTGCTTAATTAACAAAGAAGGGTAGGGGTTTTTTTTGTCCAAGTATTTGACAACAGCTACAGCTTATAAATGTGGATATAATTACACAGGTCTGATGATCCCTAATAATGAAGAAGTGGTCCTTCTTCTGTATAGAAGTACAGCTATGCTGATACTAACATAACTACAATACACAAAAGCAGATGTACCATTTTAACTATCTCAGTATTGTTAAAATGGGCAGTGTAACATTTGTGTGTATATAAAGTCTTAGAGCAGAGAAATGTTTGGAAAAATATCTGTTACTTTAGGAAGACTGTAGCCACCCTGATGATGTGAAACTTTGCTCAAACTCTATCAGTTCATTTCTGTTTATGGACTCAGGAAATTGAGTTACAGTGACTTAATGGGTTACCACATGTCGGTGGAGACGAAGCTGTGTGCAATCCAGTAGCCCATCACCAACACAAGGCAGAAATCATTAGATCAAACAACACCATTTCAGAGGTTTAAAAGATAATTGGTTTTCCTCATGTTTTCTTGTAGTCTAAGAATGCACACGCAGGCTGTTACTATGCTCAGCTGAAGACTAGGCAGTTATTAAGTAGTAGTAAGTTGATCTTTTGACTGATCTCGAAATGACAATTTTGAAATAATTTAACCAGATCAGTTTTAAGTAGTTGACTGGAGACAGAAAATGTGTGTATAAGAAATGAGTCTGTCCTGTATGCTGATAAAATAAGACTTTTAGTGACTGCATTTGTCTTGCTTGTATACTGAGGAATGGATATTTTCCAAGGTAATTTAGAATCCGTGATTTCCATTTGAAATGTTCTCAGGTGTGCTTAGAATTTCATGTATGTGCTTGTTTCAAGAAAATTACATGATTTTTTGGACTTCAGACAATTTTACCTTCATAATGAATCTTCTTTTTTATTTTTCTCAAACTGTCACAGATTTACTGACGTGTAAAGAAGCCCCTTTGGAGAGCCAAACCACAACGTTATGGAACAGACAGCTGTGTTTGGGTTTGATTCTGAACAAAACCTCACTCTTTGTTTCCTAAGTTTTATTAGAAGAGATAAAAGAATTGTTATACAAATGCTAAATGGATATCTCTTGAATACAATTATGCTTATGGCAAGAACATTACTGTCAATTACAATGCCTGAAAATGTTGTGGGAACTTCAAGAAACCAAGATCTGACTACACATCACCAGGTAATGCCTTTGGGGTAATGTGCAAAAGAAAAAGAGGGTTCTGTTGTTTCAGAATCAAGAAAGATTGTGGTCATATTAAAATTTATGTTAGCTTTGTTTTAGCTGATACTGAAGACCAGTATAATTTCCAAGAGAAATTTGAATGTAAATATTGTCAGCACTTTTCCACACTTTTTTATTGTGAAACAGATACCATTGAATGTAATGAGAAACTCCATCTCAGGGTACCATGAGTTTCTTACATATTGCCACAACCTGTAGCAATAAACAGATCTCTTAATTGCAGCTAACCTGGATTTCTTGAAATATTGTACTGCAGACACCTGGCCAAATTCTGTTTAGCAGCAATGTTCACAGTTGCTGCTTGGATCCAAAAACTACTGAGGTCAGAATTTTATCATCACTTCTTTAGCTTAGTAGCAGATTCTCCTTCTCAGTTTTGAGGGCTGTTGGGTTTTTTCTTGCTGTAAGAAAATGAGAGAGAAAAGAGAAATAAATAACTGTTCTAAACATTGAGGTATTGGCTATAAAGCTGATTTATGATGGCAGTGGAAATTTCCCTACACTTCAGTCCTTGGGGGAAGCAGCATTTAGGGAGTAAGAACACTTACATAATTATGCTCATTGCTGTTTGGTCACTTCTTTGGGCCATGAGTAAAAGCACCAACACTCTTTTCAAATAAGACGGATCTTGAGATTAATTTCTCATCAACCTCTAAATATCCTGTCAGTAGTAACTTCTGGTTTACCTGAATTAGATTAGCACTGACAAGGTGGAGGTAGGACACTTTGCTGGAAATCTGGGTCCCAAGAAGTCAATTTGCCAGTACATTGTCAAAAAGTTTTACTGAGCTGTTTTTTATCTTATCTTTATGTGGCATTTCTTTGC